GTAATGAGGCAGATCCCAGGCCAGTGCAGACCAGTCCTCTGGGAGGACTGTGGTAATTCCATTTGTAACAGGCTGTCTCAAACTACTTGAAAATCTTGTGGGAAACACTGGTGAAGGCTGCCTATCCCAACGGAGATCCTAAAGATAAAGTCTGGAACCCTGGATCGGTTTAACACTGCCAGACAGGGAAAGCTTGTCCCTGCTGGAGGAGATGGAGGGAAGGAGCTGAGGGAAGAGGCTGAAAGCAGACACAGCAGCCAAGAATCAAGCAGTGTCCCTGTTATTGGGAAGCACCATCACTGTCCAGGGATGGTGGCAACTGCCCACCAAAGACTATCAGCCCAAAAATGTGCCTACTGGGGCACCCACCTCAAGGACAGGCCAGAAAAGACAGGCCCCAGCCCTCTAAGGGCAGCTTATCCTGCCTCTGTCCTGTGGTATCAGAGCCGGGAGAGCAGGGCCTGCTTGGGGCCACCTCCCAGTAGCTGGGCATCAGGGACAGCTATTCCTGAGGGACAGGGGTTGCCTGCCTGGGGCTGAGTCACACTGGTAAAGGAGTAGAACATCTGTTTTTCTTCTCCAGCAGCCCCTCTGTGTGGGAGGACAGCCTACTGCCCTGGCTTGAGCTCCCTCTGAACATAGCCACCTCCAGATCTGTCTCTAGCCAAGACCATATAATTCCAAGGATATCCCCCTGACACTCAGAATGACTAGATTAAAACTGCATCTAGGGCTGGGGATTTAGCTCAGTGGCCTAAGCAACTTCTGCCTGGCAAGCATGAGGTTGTGAGTTCAATCCCTAGTACCACAAAAAAAAAAAAAAAAAAAAAAAAAAAAAAAAAAAAAACATCTAAGCCTAGTGCATTGGCAGATGCCTATAATTCCAACCATTTTGGAGTTACAGGCAGGAGGATCATAAATTCAAGGCCAGTCCAGACATCTTAGTGAGACTCCATCCCAAAATAAAAAGGGCTCATGATGTAGCTCAGTGGTAGATCGCACGCTCAAGAGTGTGAGTTGAATCCCCAGTACGAGGAGAGGGGGCTGCAGTGAGACATCTCCCTCAGCTGCAGCCTGCCCCTCCTAAGACCAGCCCCATTCCCTTCTGGAGCCAGGGAGCCAATTTCCATGGGCAAAGTCCCCTGCCCACCTCGGCAGGTGCTCTCCTCTGGATCAGGAGGGATACTTACCTCTATATCCAGGGCCTGACCCAAGCCGGAGCTGCACACAACATGATCAAGAGCACAGCAGGTCACATCACACTACCACCAAAGCAGGGCCCACTGCTAGAGCCTGGAACTAGGAGGTGGTGACAGGAGAAGGGTCAGGACACTCACAGCTGAGCCTAGTGAGTACTTTGGAACTGGTGGTGAACACTTCCAGGGGAGCGTGGGGTTGTCAGCTCCAAAATCTACTTAGAATTCTCAATTGCAGCATTGCTGCTGTCTCATCCAGAACATCTGGTCGTAAAATGAGACCCGTTTCTCCATGGAGTTAGCAGAAACAGAGGCTGAATGTGAGAGAGGTGGGTGGGAGCAGAGGAGAAATCCCAGGTGGTGACTCAGGGCCCGGCTGACCAGGATCCTGGGCTGGTGATCTTTGTCTCTGTTATCTGATTTCTCTTACCAACACCACCTCAGGGCATGAGAACCTGGCCTGGAAAGTATGCGGGCCCTATCAGGGCAGTGCTCGGTCCTGGGACGCCCCCTGCTGGTTTCTCTGGGAAATCATACAGCACGTCTGACTTCTCAAAGTGCAAGGATTCCAAGGGATGTTGGAAACCTCCCACAGAAACCTCACATTACAGGGGAGGCAACCGGGGGACAATGACTGAAACAGAGTAAGGGCTCAGCACATATTTGTTCAATGAATGAACAGTCAGGTAAGTGAACTGTAGTAAGAAAACAGCAAATGATCCTTTAAAATATAACATAAAACCTGTTAAACAGTATATGATGTGTGCTAGTCATATGCCAGGTATTCTGCCATGTGTTCCAAGAATGCCATGGTTTAAAAAGGGGGGTGCTTCAGTAGAAGGGAGAGAGGGAAGGGAGAAAGGGATGGAAAATGATCAAGATATGTTACATACATGTACCAGTTCCCCAAAACAAACATCACTCTTTTGTATTACAAATGTACTAGTTTAAAAAAAAAAAGTCTTTCCAGTGTGACCAAGAATAGGAAACCCATAGTAATGACTACCACTGTGTGCTGAGAGCTGGCTGGCCCTGTCTGCCACTGCAAAATATCTTCAAAACCTCAGGCAATGACATCCAGGCTCTCAAGGTCACACACAGTAAGACTAAACCCACCAGAATAGAAGCCATCCCTACAAAGGGCCCCATGTCAGCAGCCTAGCAAGGGTATCACGGAGTCATGGCCATACTGGTCAACCCAGAAGACGCAGCATTCAGAGTCACCTGGGATGGGTCCAGGGTACCCACCACACTGCCTCCTTCCCTTCCCCCATTTGCCCAACTTCTGCTGTACATTTGTCCACAAGATGAGGAACAGCGCCCAGCAAATTCTGTGATAAAGGGTCCAGGCTCAGCAGTGAGGCTTTCACTGGTCAGGCTTCTCGGCAGCACATGCCCCTACTCCTCACGATGTACCAGTGTTCCTGGGTTATAGAAAAATCCTCCGGGAGATGGGCAGGGCCGGGGAGTGGGGGGGGTCCACCAAAACCCAGATCACTATACAGCTTTTGGAAACCAGGCAACGTTGGGCTGGCAAGGGCTAGAAACACAAATGGACAAACAAAACTCTGCTCCAGGTGTCTTCCCAAGCTGAATGTGAATAAACCAAACCTCTTACATTTCAGTAGAAAAAAATATGGCAGAATATCTGCAAGAGCTCAAGGGAAAGGTTTCTCTCAGCACACACACACACACACACACACACACACACAGAGAGAGAGAGAGAGAGAGAGAGAGAGAGAGAGAGAGAGAAAAGATTGATGAAGCTGACTACTCTATATTATTGAAATGGAAAACTGTGGGGCCAACAAATCAATAAATAAACAGGGAAAAGCCACAAGGGATCAGCAAAGACACACAACAGTGAAACACCACCGCAGAGTCCTGGGTTTGCAGGCAAGGTTGAGGCCCCAGGCTCTCTTTCCCCGCTGGAAGAGCATGGACTGAAATCCTGCAAAGCTGAAGGTGAGTGTGTATTTTTGAGGGCTGTGGTCACCCTCCCCAGTAGAGGCCCTAGAGCAGCTGTGTTCAGTCTGCAGCCCTGGAGAGTCAGTGAGTAATGCAGCCCCACGAGGTCATAAATGTTTAACCTTATTGTGTGATTTTTTTAGTGATATTTTCATGACCCAGTTGCCCAGTGCTCAAGCATTGATTGTGTAAGCAGCAACAGAATGCAGTCATCTGACCCCTGGGCTACAACGCCTATTGGTCTGTCTTCATCTAAGGTACTTCTTCGAAGCCTATCTCATCTGTTGAAATGAGCATCTTGTTTAAAAACGTTTGTCACAGCCCTGCAACCAGCTGGATGTCCGCTCTGATACAAGTGTCAACCCTCTAGCTGTGACTGGTGGGTAGCTGGTACTCTAGACTCCCTATTTAATTAGCAGGCGCTGATGGCTGAAGGGGACCACAGGTCAAGGGTAGAGTGGCCCTCCATGAATGTGTGTGCAGCACTGCCTTTGGGGCAGGCCTTAATTTCTAAAAACCTAGCATGGCACGTCACAGAAAAGAACATTTAAAGGGTCTCAGTTACTCAGGAGGCTGAGGCAGGAGGATCAGTTAAACCCAGAAATTCAGGCCAGCCTTGACAACATAGCAAAACCCTATTTCAAAAATAAATAAAGGGCTTCCCTTCTGATGGTCAGGAAAATACAAATTAAAAGCAAAATGAGATACTACTACACACTCACCAATATAGCTGAAATAAAAAGTCAAAAAAGATCAAATGTGATGAGGATGTAGAGCACCTGTAACTCTCATATATTGCTGTTGGAAGTGAAATTTGGTTCAACTAATCTAAAAACTCTCTTGGTAGTACCTTGTATAAAGCCAATCAGAAATTTATACTATTCCAGCCATTCTATTCCCAGGTATACCTCAAAAGAAATGTACATATGTCTATCAAAAGATATTTATAAGTATGTTTACAGCTGCTGTGTTCTTGCTTGCCATAAATAGAAATAATCCATTTGTCTCCTGCAGCAGAATGAATAAACAGTAGTAGAAGTATTCACATAATGCAAATATCAAATTCTAGCAAAAATCAGTAATAAAACGCACATGGATCTCAGAAAGAAAATGTTGAGTGACAGAAGCTAAAAACAAAATATTGCAGACTATATGTTCTCATTTCTATAAAGTTTAAAAGAAATAAAGAGGCAAGGGCATAGCTCACTGGAAGAGCACATGATTAGCATATGTGAGGTCCTGAGTTCCATCCTCAGCACCTCACAAAGGAAAATAAAAAGGCGTGAAAAAGGGTATAGCCTCATAAATTGATGACATGACTTCCCTCAGTGTAAGGAGTAGCACCTCCAGATGAGGCATGGGGGAAGTGTCAAGTGCTGCTAATAGGGTAGTTCTTGACCTACATGGTTTTACATGAAATTCTCACTTAGTGCAGTTTAATCAAATTGTCATTTATTTGTGGGGAGATGGATGCTGGGGATAAACCCAGAGCCTTGTGCATGCTAAGCATATACTGTACCACATAACTATACACCCAGTCTCTATGTTTTTTTTAAATATGTAGGTTATAATTTAATAAAAAGGAAGCTTTTATTATTGCTGTTGTTACTGAGACAGGATCTCCTACGTTGCCCACATGTGTCTCAAATTCCTAGGCTCAAATGACCTTCCTGCCTCAGCTTTCTCAGTAGCTAGGACTACAGGAGTACTCCACCATGCCCAACATTTTTTAATTGTGCTAAGGATTCTGACCTGCAACCTGCATGTACATGACCAGGCCGACAGACCGGGGGCAACCATAAACCCACAGGACTTATGGGAGGGGTGTGAGCCTACCTTCAGGTAGCTGAGCCAGCTGCTTGTATACCTGGTGCAGGTTCTCCCGGCAGGCTGAGTAGGGATCATTCAGCAGAAAGGACAGGGCAAGGATGATGTCGTGCTCTAGGAAGCTGGTTCTGGGAAGGGAAGGTGGATTTAGACATAACTAAAACCATGCCGGGAAGGATCAAATAAGAGCAAGTCAACTGGTATCTTTAAATCCTAGCAACCTGGGAGGTTGAGGCCAGAGGATCACAAGTGCAAAGCCAGCCTGGGCAACTCAGCAAGGCACTATCTCAAAATAAAAAATAAAAAGGCTCGGGGATGTAGCTCAGTAGCTGAGCACTTGCTAGCATGTGCCAGGCTCTGGGTTTAATCCCCAGCACTGGGCAGGGGGCAAAAAAAAGGAGGTCAGCAGCCCTACTCGGAGTCAGTCAGAGTTTGAATCTGCATTAACTGGGGCAAAGAACAGAGTGGACACCGCATTCCAGAATCTCCAGAGGCCATGACAGCATAATGGTATGGTCTGCATGGTGACAAGAATCATACAGCTCTGCCCTTTAGGAGCCACAACGCAGACTCAGGCTCTTTCTTCATGCCCCCAGATTCTTATTTTCACTCTCCTGTGTCTTAGTTCCACCATCGGCAAATAAAGCAATGGAAACCTACAACCCACCCTGCCTAAACTGTGGGGCTAAGCTCTCCATCTCTCTCTGTGCCTCGGAGGGAAAAGCTTGGCAAGCCCAGCCCCTCAGGGCCCCCCGCTCCTCATGTCTCCCCCCGGCTGAGTTGTGAGCTTGCCAACAGCCAGCTGCTCCCTCCAGACCTATGGATGCCTGTTATGCTTGTTGTTATAATTATATATAAGTTAATTAAATATTAGGTAAGCCGATTAGATGAGAAGGGTTTTTAAAATTTCCTTACAAAAAAGAAAGGATGCTCTTCAAAGACTCACAATTGAGTCTCTTTAAAAAAAAAAGATGACTGTAAAAGATTCTAGAAGGGTGTTTGCATGCAGATTTCTTCATCAATGTCTTTCAGAGCTTGCTCTGAAAACTGCAAATCAGATATGTGGTTGAATTTTAAAAAGAAAAGGGAGACACAATATACCATCCAGTGGACTCATAGCCAAGACAAGACTTGGGTCCCACACTGAGATTGGTATATGCTTTTTATTACTGGTGTTTTGGGTGTAAAATAAATGATTTAAAGGAAATATATAATTTCTTTGATTCTCCAATTTTAACCATTTCTTTTAAGTAATCAACTGAATTTGAGTCCCAACTATATCTGGATAAAGGGGCTTATAAGGTCACACCTGTCAGGGTGGGGTTCAGGAATGAGAAATAATACATGAACCTCTCAAGTAAGTGTCCAGGACACAGGACATGCACAATCAATCCTACTACTGCGCCACTGGTTGAAACATCCATATGGCCTGTTTTGAATTATTTTGGAAGAACGAAATCACAGTGAGACACACAAGTTGCAGGGACCTTACCTGACCACTGGGTTTACCAATGACGCCCTCTATATCACTCATGCTTTGAAAGCTGGTTGGTGCACACCTGTATTCTTAGCTACTCAGGAAGTTAAGGCAGGAGGATTACTTGAGCTCAGGAGTTTAGAGCCAACCAGGACAACATAGCAAGACCTTGTCTCTTGGGGAAAAACAGGCTTGGCGTGCTATGTAACTAACAGTGAAACATGAGCTTAACATGCAGGAAGCCCTGGGTTCAATCCCCAGCACCAAAACAAAAACGAACAAATTCAGCATGGAGGCACACACCTGCAGTCCCAACACCCCCAGAGGGGAAGGTGGGAGGATCATAAGTTTGAGCCCAGCCTGAACAACTTAGTGATTTAATAAGACCCTGTCTTAAAATTTGAAAAATGGCTTGGGAATGGAGCTGAATGCAAGATCCCTGGGTTCAATCCCTGATACCAGGAGGGAGTAAGGGAAGGAAGGGAGGAGAGGCAGAACAAGAATCAATCCACGCTATGTGTGGTGGGACAAACCTATAATCACAGCTACTCAGGAGGCTGAGGCAGGAAGATGTAAATTCAAAGCCAACCTGGATTCTGGAGCAAGACCTTCTCAAAAGAAAAAAATAAATTAAAGAGGCACTAACTGCGTTTGCCTGTGGAGTAGTATGGCCACTTCACCAGCAGCAAGCAAGATGGGAGGGCCAGCACCCAGGAAGGTCTCTTGCTTATGTGAATTTCATGTAAATTAACTAACTCCTTGCCAAGGATGCCAAGTTTGGGCTGCCACCCTCATCCTCCTTTCGGTCTCTAGTTGTGTGGTGGTGGGAAGGCAGAAAGGTTTCAACACAGGTGATTCGGGGCAGTTACTTAGGACTCAATGGGCTTTGAAAGGACTTTAGTTATAAGAGCACTGCTGAATTCTGGGGAATTTTAGAAATGGGCCACGTTTGTATTCTGGCCTAGACCCTGGTTACAGCAATGCCTCTCCTGGCCCCTTTCCCTTACCTCACAGCCACGGTGTGAGGAATGGCTGAGAATGCTGAACAAGCTTGAGGGCCAGACTCTACCAAGCCTGGCCAAGGACGATTCTCCCTCTGGCTGTCCCACCTTATGAACGTGGGCCCAGCCAAAACTCTCCCACCCAGGCTCTCTTCGTGCCGCTGAACAAATCTACAATTACCCTCCTTAGGCATCTTGTTCCTTTGTAATTGCTTGGGCTTCGATCCTATCTCCTCTCCGCATCCATCACCCCTCAGTGAGGGTTATTACCTTACTGTCCATATCAGGTCCAAAAAAGAGAGAGGAAAACAGTAAGAATGAGAAATACTTAACACCTGTGCGCTCCTTGGGTTTTTTATGGTTTTTTGTTTTGCTTTATTGAAGACTGAACCCAGGGCCTTGACACTGAGCTACATCTCCAGCCTCTTTTTACTTTTTACTTTGAGACAGGGTCTCACAAAGTTACCCAGGCTGGGCTCCAACTTGCAATTGTCGTGCCCCAGCCTCTCACAGTTCTAGGATTGTAGTTGTTTGCCACCATATCTAACCCTAAGGCTGTTTGTTTGGTTTTTGTTTGTTTTCAGCTGTTTAATTTTGTTTGAAATAGGATGTCATGTTGCCCAGGCTGGTTTTGAACTCCTGAGTTCAAGTGACAATCCTGTCTCTGCCTCCTGAGTAGCTGGGATTATGGGAGTGTATACCGTACCTCCTAAGGTTTGGTTGGTTTGGTTTGGCTTGGTTTTCATTTTGGAGGATTGAATTCAAAGCCTTGGCACTGAACCCATAGCCTCAGACCTTTTTATGATTGATTTTGAGACAGTATTTCATTAAGTCACCCAACCTGGGTTGAAATTTGCAATCCTCCTATCTCAGCTCCATTATCCTCAAGGTTTAAAGCACCTCCTCAGGTCATTTCAGATAGACAATGTGAGACTTGGATCAAGATGCTCATCCCGAAAGTGAGGCAAAGTGGTGTACACCTATAATCTCAGGGTTTAGGTGGCTGAGGCAGGAGGACTGCAAATTAGGGTCCCACCTGGATAACTTACTGAGATCCTTCTTCAAAATTAAGAAAATAGTAATAACAAAAATAAAAAGGACTGGATATAGCTCAATAGTAAGGCAACCCTGGTTTCAATCCTCAGTACTGAGAAAAAAAAACAGATCATCCAGGTCACAGAGCAGGAAAGGATGTCCTCCCCTACACAGGACAGGCCCACTCCCCTGTTCTGTATGTAGCCCCGATCCATTCTATGTGATGCAAAGGCTGTGAACTACAGTGCCAAATGTACAGCTTCCCCATGACCACCCCGTTCACTTCCTCACATACTCCCCACCCACAGTGCCTGATTAGACCAGGGCTGCATGCAGGCTGAAGCAGGAACCAAGGAGGATAGTGAGACTCAGAATCTGGGGAGCATCAGGGCCCTGTAATTTGATATGAAACCTCTCCGAATAGGTGCTTGTAGTTTACACACAACAAACCTGAAGGCAGTTGGCTCCTTTCCCTTTGAGTTGTCCTTGAACACTGGACAGGGGTCTCCTTTACTTATTTTTAATTAGGAATCCAACTTAGAACATTGTGCCTGCCAGGCAGGCGCCTGAGGGGTCTCCTTTATACAGGAGACTGGGGAAAGAGCTTGAATTAGTGATCCCAAGTCAAAAGAGTGAATTCAGCTAGTATAGGAAAGCACTTCCAATCCCTAACCCCTCATCCCCTAACCAAAAGGCTAGGTGAAATAGGGTTTAAGGGCAACATGCAAAGCTTCACACAGGAAAGATATTTAATAGAAAAGCAAAAGAACCTCAGCATGTTGAACAAAAGGTGAGGCTACCAGCCCACCAGATGTGTACTTCGAGGCTGATGTTTTAATACCTTCATGGGGCACAAAAGCCAAAGCCACAGACCCTGTGAGAATTTGGGGCAGGAAACTTGGCTCCCTTTAAAAGGCTAGGAAAAGGCAAAATTGCTACAGATATGGGATATGAACTTTCTTTCCACCTTCAAACTGGGAAGCCCAGAGCTAGACGCTTATGTAAAAACTAGTCTGGAACACAGGGTTCCATGAGGCTCCCAAAGAGGTGATCAAAACCACCCCACAGAGAGGAATGTTCTGAGAGATACAAGTCACACTGAAGACCAGCACTACAGACAAGAGCACTCAAGGTCATTTGAGGACATTCACACAGGAGAGGAACATGACTTCCAAGTGTGACAGAGACAGCTGCTCACCTGCCCACATTATGGTTTGCCATGATGCAGAGCACCTCGGTGGTCTTTATCCGAACCAGGGTGTCACTATCTTTCAGCAAAGCTGTCAGACTCTCCAGGCAGCCTACAAGGCAAAAAACAAAACAAAACAAAACAAAACTGAATATTTGCCAGTCCCAGAAATCGACTAACCCAAAAGCCAGTATGTGAGCTGATGTTGGACATCATGAAAGTACCATGGGTTCTCTTGTGTTGGAGTGCTGGAGAATCATGTCAGTTACATAGCGTTTGAAACTACTGAGCGAACTCATCTAATCCTCCTCACTGTACACCTTAAATGCTTTCTACTAGTTCCTTCTCTTGAAGTCTTCTATTGATATAAGAAAATGTCCTTTGATATATCACTGATCCCAGGAGAGACATATGGTTAAATCAGAACCCTGTCCTACACTAGTACCGTGACTTAGGTAAATGGACTACACCTAGGGATGCAAGATTTAGCACACAGGAATCCTGCTTAACTCATTAACTAGGCAACCTTACATTCATACCCTTTCTCTTAAGGTCTTTTTTTCCTAATACTGGAAACTGAACCATCATGGAGCTACAACCCCAGGGCTTTACAGTTTTTATTTCAAGGCAGTGTCTCACTAATTGCTCAGGACAGCCTCAAACTTAAATCCTCCTCCTTCAACCTCCCAAGTAAGTGAGATAACTGGTGCGTATCACCATAGTGCTTGGGTGAACACTGGCCTTCTTATTTGTAGGTTGTGAATTTTCTCTCCTTTGTAGGTTAAAATAAGGCAGACACTGAATTTAGGGCACTTCCTGTCCCAAGTCAGGCTCAATAAACAGCAACACTTATTGTCGAAGCTCCACCTAGTGTCCAATCCGTGCCAGGACCCCAGTCCTGATCACATGGGCTGTGATATTCTCACCTATGTCAACGGCCTCGTAGACATACTCAGGGTCGTGCATGAGGTCACACAGGGCCATGAGGGCTTTCTGCCTTGTCTGTAGGTCCTCTGACTGTAGCTCCTTGTTCAGTTTGGGCAGAGCCCAACAGCCATAGGCAATATCGGCCTGAGCAGGATTGATGTTCGGAGGCAGGTACATGGAGATACGAGTATGAGCCATCTTTCTCTTTTGAAAGGTTTTTGAAATGAAGTTCTGCAGAGACTGTTGGTTAAAAGAATCCAAAAGGTTGTTGTTATTACTACTGTAATTTACAAGCTACTTTTTATCTGACCCTCAAAAGCATGAGTGCAGATGGGTGGGCATTTTTATGCCTGTCTTACAGATGAAAAAAGTCTGAGAACAGTAAAGAGATTTAAGGTCACAATGAAGTTTCAATAGCAGTGCAAATTCCAAATCTCAGAGTTCTCCCATGCAACGGTTCTTAATAACAAGAGAAACCACTTCAGTACTTTATAGGATGGGGCCTTAGTCATTGGCACCAAAAAGACAAAACGGGTCAAATAAGTAAATACCAAAATGATCTCTCCACTTGGTGCTTATCTGATGCCAGCAACTGATAGTACCTAATTCACTTACCACCAGTCAGACCTCAGCACTGTAGAAAGCTGATGCAGGATGATTGCAAGTTGGGAGCACCGTGTGGACAATTTATAGTGACTTAGTGATATCCCATCCCAAAATTTGAAAATAGAATTAAAAGGGCTGAGAATGTAGCTCAGTTTAATCCCAGGAACTAAACTAAACTAACCACCTACCTATAAGGAGAGGACTTGCATTATCCATAATTTCCAGATAAGAAAACAGACTAAATGCTTGCTAAATGTCACCAAATTGGTAAGGATAGAAGTCATTGCTCAAATCCAGGTCTAACTAGCTCATTCATCAGTCAGGGACCCATATTCAGATGCTTAGGACACATCATTAAAAAAAGAATTGAGATTAAAGAATGACTGGGTTTTTTCCACACTCACCACAAGCAACTATGGCTACTGGTTAAGAACTGGCTGCAGGTCCATGACACAGGTGGCCCTTGACAAGGTACTTCCTCCATCTGTGTCTTTCTGAAGCTGTAAAAAGAATAATAGTGCCCCCTTCTGGCCCTTCCAGTGTAGTCATATTAACTGATACCCATGAAAAAATGTGGCTCGCCAGAGCCCCAAGATAAATTGGCCGTGGTTATTATGATTGTTATCACATATAGTTACACGGGCAGGACATAGCCCTGCAGAAATCTCCTCAGTAAAAAGATGAATCAGATTCTGAAACCGACCACCACACAAGGAGAGGAGCAAGACTGGGCTGGGAAGGACGCTGCCATAAGTACTCTGGGTCCCCTTCCCCGAGAATCAGGGGCACAATGACAGGGCCCTCCCTCTGAACGCCACGCGCTGAAGGAGCACAGCCACCGAAGTAAAGATGTGACTGGGGTCTGAGGACATGGGCCCGTGTGAGTGAGACTGGGTAGGTCAGGGAGCGCCCCTGTTTCCCAGGCCCCTCACTCGCCGCCACCACCTCACCTGCCACAAGACGCAAGCTGCTTCTTAAACCCGCCCTCTAGTTGCCAGGCAACTCCCGAGCGTCTCTGGCGCCCAGCTCAGCACAAGCCTGTATCCACTGCGCAGGCGCGAACAGGCAGGGGCTGAGACCGGTTCCAAAGGGGAAACGATAATACTTTACAGGGTTACTGTGTGAAAACAAAGGCTGCTCGGCTTTGTTCAATGTACTGAAGAAAAATGATTTCTTTACCCCTTTTTCTCTACTGGGCATTTGCATGCCTTTGATCATTAGAGCAGTTTATGCAGTTTATCCCTATGCAGTTTTAGGGATAAGAATCTCAAGAGGCTGGTGGCTTCCTCCAAATCACACATACCTGATCTAGAGCTGCCTAGCCCTGGCCCATGCTTCTTGCTCTGCAAGTTGAGCACCCAGTAAAGACAAAGACTGCAGTGGACCAATACACTCCTGGTTAGGGGTCGTTTTCAAGAGTAAGCCAGACCCACCCACCACCTACTTAAAACATTCCTGTGACTCCCCACTGGACTTAGGCCTGAGTCTCTACTGCTGCCCTGCGAATGAGTGTGGGAGTGCTGTGGGGCTATGTGGGAGGCTGCAGCAGGAGAATCACTTCAGCCCAGGAGTTCATCACCTTTTTGAGCAACATGGTGAGACCTGGGCAACATGGTGAGGCTTTGCCTAAGTCAGGCTCCCCATCCTCCCCCCACACACAACGCCGCCGCGCCCCACCCCCACCCTGCTTAGACCCAAGTCCTTAACTGGGGCTTCTTCCAGCCATGGTGGACTCACTGTTAATCCCTGAAATAGCCAGTTTTCTTCCACAGCTTGAGCTGTCAGTAATTCTAATGACCTCTTAGTCCTCCAGGAAGTAACTTGATGGACACTTTCTCCATGAAGCCACCCTTCTCAAATCCAGGTTAATAAGGAATCTCAGTTTAATTATCCCATTGACAAACATCTTTCCCTCAACTCTCTAATTACTTTTTCCTCCTGGGTGCTGAGGATTGAACCCAGGGCCTGGAGTATGCTAGCCAACCATTCTACCACTGAGCTATCACCTCAACCCTCTGTTTACTTCTAATACCCCTAGCAGACCCTACCTTCTCTGAGGGTAGAGACCATGTCAATTCCTTCTCTGCCTCCCCAGTGCCAGGCATATGCCAGGAGGCTTTTATTAAGTCCAAAACAAATGAATAGTTAATAGACTTGAATAGAATTTTACAACCTAAAAGCACTTTTACTATCTCAAGTGATCCTCACAAGAAACCTTTGAAGTAGATAGTTGGGTCCATTTTATAGCTACGAAGTAGACTGAGATACAGAAAGCAGAGCAACTCACCTAAGTTCATCTTCTAAGCCTTAGCAGTAAATGCATTAGTAAAAGCATCAAACATCAGCCTTTAACATATTTAGCTTTGAAGTGAGGAATGCTGAGATCTGTGTACCGAGAATTCAATATTGTGGTGCTGAGATCTGCCTCCTCTTGCCGTTCTTCAAAGGATCAAGTTCTAAAGGTCTCTCCAACCCAAAGCATCCTAATTTTTTAAGGAAGTTGCTGTGAAGAGCACTGGACCGGGGGTCAAAAAATATGGGTCTTAGCCAGAGGGGTGGCACAAATCTGTAATCACAGCACTAGAGAGGCTGAAGCTGTGAATTCGAGGTCAGCCTGGGCTACAGAGTGAGTTCAAAGCCAGTCTGAACTGTATAGCAAAATTCTGTCTCAAAAAGACAAAAAAACCCACACACACACACACACACACAAACAGAAAGATGGATCTCAGTTGTAGTTCTAACTCAGTAGGCAAATCCCTTTGAGTGTGTCATGGTTTGTTTAAAAAAAGCGGAGGTAGGGGGCGCTGAACCAAATTGATTCTCAAAGCTGGGAACTGGACCTTTCTGAATCTGGTTATGAAAATAGGGAACTCTGGAGGCCATCTAGACCGCACACACCACAATTTCCAAAAAGCAACTAATTCATAGGAGCTCAATGACTAGAGTCAGCACCAACTTTAAAACCCATTAATCAAGGAAATTAATTTTGCAGCATGAGCTCTAGAAGTCAGGCATATGATTTTTCATAGAGCATTGGGTTTCAGAATTACGCTGTAAGGTCAGTAGATGTGGACACAAGGCATGTCCATCCCTTCCCAAAGCAGGGTCCTTGACTCTGACCAAATCCCGAGACAGTATTATTGTACTGCAGTACAGCAACAGTTATCCCATGATTACTACCAGTCCACCAGTCCTCCAGTCCAATGTAATGGCGAGTGAGCAGCTTCGCGAACACCTCCACGGTCAGCCCCAAGCATACACGCTCTCCAGCGCACAGCTCCACCCACTGGACTCCCTGGTTCCACCCACTGTCCTTGTAGCAAGCTATCGTTGCCATGGTGATCTCCAGCGCTGCAGCCGCAGCGTCCGGAAGTGTTTCCTTTGGCTGCTAGGCCCAGACCCCTGGGACGCTCTCGTTGCTATGGTGATCCCTTGTGCAAACTGCTTGCAGGACTTTCCAAAGTCAGTCCCACCCACACGCAGCCCCCAGCGTCCCGGATTCGTCCAACGCCCGCAGGTCCCGCGTGACCCATGTTGCCGTGGTGATCCCGCGCAGCTCTACAGTACTAGGCCGCTCGGAGCCCTGAGCCTTCGCAGGCGTGGTAAGTCAGTCCACTCGCCTTCTCTGTCCTACCCTCTGCCCGCCCCAGTGCAGGCACAATGCAGAGGTTGTGGTCTCCAGAGCGCCCTATCCTCTGCCAAAATCTACGGCCTACAGTCCCGGAATTAATCATTTCTTGAGCACCCATCCCGTGTCAGGCCAGTGCTGGTTCTCGAAGACAGTCAGGTCTGAGGGAGGACAACAGCTGGCCTTGATCAGACCCATTGTTGGGGGAGGGGGAGCTGCACGTGAAAAGAATCTGGAGGGATGTTGAATAAGCTCGAGGGGCAGGGCTGGGTGAGGACAACAGAAAAAGCTTGAAGCCTAAAAGCCCCAGGACACCCAAAGCCATCACCCATCACGGAGTTTAAGCTGAGAGAGAGCCCCTCCTGCTTAGACGTTTGTTTGGGAGAGAACCGAGTTTTCAGATTCCCACGGAGGGTGGAGCAGCACCCCTGTCCATGCCACCTGCACCTTAAAAGAGATAGCCTGACTTCCTGTGTCCAGGTGACCTCTCTCCGATGTTCTTGATAAAGAGGGAGGCCAGATCTAACTTTAAAGCTAATGAAAAGTTAGGCAGAAACTTATAGTTACATCTTTGGAGATTTGCACAGCTCTCTAATTCTTGTGAAAAGATAAAATAACAGGACCGGGGATATAGCTCCTGTCTGGCAAGTGCAAGGTCATGAGTTCGATTCCTGGTCCCTCCCTGCAAAAAATAACAGTTAAATTAAAAAATCTTAATTGGCTTTATTTGTGGTTCTAGAATCAGACAACATATCATTCTGTAAGATGCACTGAATATTCTGATGCACTAAGCAAAGATTACTTTTATAAATAGAAAAAGACTAAGGAAAATAGAAACAGAATAAAAAGCAGATTGGTTGATTTAAAGTTACTAGGTTTAAAACCAACAGGCTTTCTTTATCATGATGGCTCAGGTAAACTGGTCCCTTTTGATTGAAAGCTGTAAACCTGTTGGTGTTTTGTTTTGGTTTTTGTTTTTTTAACTGGCCCAGTTCAGAGTCTAGTTTGATCATGTGACACATAGCCTGAGTGATTCCATCTGGCTTGATCTGGTGTGTTGGGGCCTAATGCCATAGGCTAATCCAAAACAGTGACCACCTATAAACTGCATTTAACGTTCTCTTTTCCCTCATTGGTTCCATAGGGCTTTGGAAGAATGAGATCCTCCCTGACACCTTTAGGACCCACTGTGAGCAGGGACCGCATCATTGACACCTTCCCTAAGGTAGAGTTACTAGGCTACCCTTTTTTTATTTGTACTCTTCTCGTAATCTTGAGGTGGTATCCTCACCACCAGATATAAAGCAGGTGAATCAGGAGGTCTGTCTTCCTGAGAAGCTAGAAGACTAGATCTTCACTTTGTCCAGAGTAGGACAATGGTGAGACAAGGCAGCAGTGTGACTGTAGGTCAGTCAGATGGTCCTACATGTGAATCTCCATTCTGTCATTAAGTTTCATAACCATTAGCAAGTTACTCTTAGAGCCTAGAGGCTATTACCTCTTACATTGTCTCCCTAGCCAATTGGAAACAGGAGCCTCCTTGAGGTTTTGTGCAGTTACTGTTGTCATTATTATTACTGTTATCCAGGAGCTAGAGGGATAGCTCAGTGATACAGCCCTTGCGTAGCATGTTCTAGGTCCTGGGTTTGATCCCAAATGCCACAAAAAAATTAAAAATTAAATCCCAGCACTCTTAACTTCTAGATCCCAAATTGAGGCCTTTCTCTCTTTGCTATATTGCTTTAAAAAAAAGGTTCACAGCTCTCCTCTGTCTTTATTAAAATCCAGTATTAGCTAGAGCTGGGAATGCAAATCAATGTGACCTCTCTTGGTGGCTATGGAACTATATTTACCAACTTTGCAAAAGCTTCTGCCCACTGATGCAACCATTCCATTTCTAGAAATTTACTCTGCAGATACCCTGGCATGGTGGAGAATGTGCACAAGGCCAGATATTACAGCAGTTAGGAAGAATAGGTCAAACATGTCACTGTCCTCAGAGAGGAGGCTGGTTGAAGAGGTAATGCTACTTCCTGCCATGGACAAAAGGAATGAGGTACCTCTTAGGTGCCATGAGGGCCAAAGTAAATTGTTAGGTAAAATGCAAGAAGTGGAGATGTGTGTAGTCAAGTGTGTGTGGTACACTCTCTTGAGTGTAAAAAAGATGAGCTGAGGGTACAACTCAATAGTAGAACACACACTTACCTTGCACAAGAGTGTGGGCTTTGGTCCTCAGAACTGATAAAAAAAAGAAGAAAGAAATATGTGTATTGTTAATACATGCATAAAATATTTCTGAAAGTTACATAAGATGCTGTTGTCAGTAGATGCCTACATTGGCTTAGGGCAGGCATGCGGGAGACGTGTCCACCAAATGGTCTTTGTGTCTTTTAGATTCTGTGCCCAGGTTGGTAAGGAGGAAGGAAGTAGCTGTAGGCTCTGGGTGTTTTGTGTCTTCAGCTATTTCCTCTTAACCTCCTGCCGAGTTCCTTCTCTACACCCTCACGGGAAGGGTCTTAGTGCCTCAGACTGTCAGTAATTCCTCCACATTTTCCATTACAACACAATTTGAGCCATTGCCTTTCCTATGGAACTTGACAATGATAACTAGGAGCTAGTTTAGAAGTTGAAAGGAAGGGAAGCACAATTGGCACAGAATAGTCCAGGTCTTATGGACAGAACTCCATTTACAGAGCCGGATAGCAAGGCTCTAAGAGATAGGAAAGATTGTCTGATGTCACCTAGCCAGATTTTGTGAAGGTATGATTTGGCCTGGCTGTATCTGGCTCCAGAACTCCCTACCCCAAGGAGACAGCCTAGAGATCCTTCTTGTTTTCACAGAAAGTGGGGTTCTGTCCCTCCTATCTGTAGTCATCAAGGATCACAGGCCACTGGTAGCCACGTCTGCCCTGTACCCTAGGGCCACACCACTTCAGACCTGAGAGATTCTCAGTCAAATCAGGCTGAGTCCACATAGCACCTTCCAAGGCAAATCCTTCCCTTTACTTTGCGTGCCTCAGTTTCCCTTTCTCTGAAGTTGACTCACACCATCTACTCTGCAGCCTGCAACATGACAAGAAACAGAGAAAGTTAATGAGGCTGACAACCTGGTGGCTCAGCAGAGAGGAGGGATGAGAAGACTGGGAAGTAGATCACCACTGTGGTCTCTGGCTTGGTTAACAGGGCTGTGGTTTTGCAGGACATGCCTACCTATTTATCTGTTTCTTTGTAGTGGTACAAACCTGATGCCTCCCTGCAGCTTAAGGAGCACTTCAATGAGCAGGTCAGCGCAGCTTGCCAGCGCAGGAACACCGGGACTGTTGGGTAAGCCTGTGGACCTGGGATGTGGAGGAGAGATGACCAAAAGGAATAAGCAAATGAGTGTATGAATGAGAAATAAACAAATGAAGCACACAGCCTGGGCAGGTGCAACCCAGTGCTGGGATTTTTGTTTGGCTCTGCTTGACACGCTCTGCCACGTGAACTTTTCCTTGTCTCAAAATACTCAGGACTCTTCAGCCTGAGGTCTCAGGATGGGTCTGTTTTCTCTGTGTGGAACATCTTTTTTTTAACTTTCTTCTTTAAGTCCTCCTATGTTGGGTCCTCTGAAATCTCTCTCTAAGCCCCTAGTCTGAACTGAGCAAGTATCCTTCCTGTGTGCTCTTGAGCCCAAAACTTGTGTCACAGAATCACAGTTTTGCTGTCTGGATTCTTTATCAGGGTCAAGGCTGTCTATGTTGCCTCAGATCTAGGATTGGGTCATCACAGAGAGTTTAGGGAAGGAAAGGTGTCTGCATGTGCTAAAAATGCTCTAGAAACCATACTTAAGGTTGTCATGGCCCTATTTATTCCAGGCTCAAACTCTCCAAGGTGGTGGTTGTTGGTGATCTCTACGTGGGGAAGACCAGCCTCATCCACAGGTATGCTCTGCTGGCTGCCTTCCCTCAGTCAGGTCAGCCACACCTCACAGCACCAGCACCAGGTTGTCACGCCTTCCTGGGAGGCCCAGATAGTACTATCACAGTGGGAACCAGATGCTAGGAAACAGGCCACTGCCTCAGCCTGGTGGGCACCAGATGGGAGGAGGGACAAAACATCAGAGAGATGGTGGGTTGACAGTAGGGCATCCCGAGAGACTGGCACTCATCACACTGTCCCCTGGGGCCACAGCTGGCCCCTCTACTGGCCTCCCTGGGAACAGACTCAGGTATTCTTACAGTGAAAAGGGGTCTCGGGGAGGCAAACTTACAGTGTTTGCCTTGCAAGCTGCCACAGCCCATCTTCCTCATTATCTTGTTGGCTGCCCTGTTGCTATGGTTTAGGGAGGTGTCCCCCAAGGTTCATGTGTTAAGGGTTTGACACTACTGGGAGGTGGTAGAATTTTTAAGTGGTAGGACTTAGAGTAAGAGGGCTTTAGGTCACTGAGAGCATGTGCTCAAAGGAGACACTGGCATCCTGGCCCCTTCCTCTTGCTCTTTTTTGCTTCCTGGTCATGAGGTGAATGGTTTTATCCTGCTATATGTCACCACTGCAATCAGCTGCCTTCCCACATGCCCCAAGCAATGGGTCTCATCAGTCACGGACTGAAATCTCTAAAACTCTGAGTACCAAAACCCTTTTCTTTTTATACGTTGACTGTCTCAGGTGTTTGTTACCGTGACAGAATGCTAAGCAACACACCTGGCTATCCATGGCCTCTGTGAGCCATCCCTCCTTAATTCTCTAAAATCAGTGGATTTTATTTGCCTGTACACTTTCACTGGGGAGCAAACCTTCCAAGGCAGTTTTTGTGAAGACACCTCTCTAATGACATCCTCACGTCCCACAGGTTTTGCAAGAATGTTTTTGATCGCGACTACAAGGCCACTATTGGGGTAGACTTTGAAATTGAGCGCTTTGAGATAGCTGGGATTCCATTCAGCCTCCAGATGTAAGTTCCCATTGTGTGATGTCATTTCCCTTATGGCTGGAGGGTGGGCTTCCTGGAGTCCTTGGGGAAAGGTCTTGGACAGCCCCTTCTCCACTGTCAGCAAGGACCTTTCTAGACAGGCAGGACCTGGGCTGGTTTTGAGAAACCAGGCTTCATGGCTCCCAAGTTTCCTGGTTGCTCTTCGCTCTTGACACATCAAGGGAAGGTTTTCACACCCTAACCTATCCACCCATCCATGATGGCTTTCTCCCAGCCTGGACCTCCTGTGATCCTGCAGGAGGCGGGTAGACTTCGGCAAGTCATTAGCTCTGAGTCACTGTCCCCAGCTATGAAGTGGGACTGGATTAGTCCTTGCGTGCTAGGCTTGGGTGAGGAGGGTTTTGGTAGAGGCCATGCCATCCACCCCCTCCTCAGATGTGCTCCTCTGCCCCTTCATACCTTTTCCCTCAGTAGGGAGGTAACTCCCTCCCCCCACCCCGTTCTTTCCTTCCACACTTGTCTTCTGGTTCTCTTTCCTTTCCTCCTCACTGGGTTCATTCTTCAATAGTTCATGCTCTGCTGAGTCTGAAGTGCAGTTCTCGAGCCAGATGATGCCACATCTTTTCCAAGAGTGAGGATAGGGTCATCCCAGAGCAAAACTGGCTGTGAAAATGCCAGGGACTAAGGGGTCTGGACTGCTGAGAAAGGCAAAAAGCCAGAGAGAACCATCCAGGTGGAGCCAGGTAGGCAGCAGCTAGTGGCTGGGCTCTGCCTGTGGCTGCAGGCTGTATCCAACTATAGAGAGACCAGGAAAAAACAGGAACACTGTTCTGCCTCAGTCTCTCAGTGTCTTAGATTGAGATCAGTGCTGTCCACGCAGCTGACCTCATCTCCAGGCCTACCCCTACCTCTCCACCCAGAATATTCTTTTGAGATCAAAAGAAAACTGAGTGCATTAGTGAGGGGACATAACCAAAAAGTTTGTATCACATGGGATCACTTGAAAAAAAATCTCAGACCATTGGTGTCATATTCATGGTTTGTCTCCTGTTTGGTTTACTGTGAAAAGTTAAATTTTGACCTGTCAACTTTAAGAAAGGATTAAGGATTAGATTTCAGACTCGTGCCTACATACTGACCCCACGCCTTGCTATAAACCAGAGCAAATAAATCTCATGTGCGCCATCCCATTTTCTCTACTGTGGCTGTGGTAAACAGCATAAATCTAATGTTGTATTCTTTTCTGTGAAGCCAGGGCTCAGCTTCTAAGTCCTTCTTGGTATGTTACTCCAGAGAGCCAGGGCCAACTAAAGAGAGTCACCCAGGAAATATAAACCATGTCCTTATGAGGCATCCCCATCCTTTACCCAGGAAGCAACAGTACAGAAAGGGAAACAGTGTCCCAATTACTCATGAGCAAGTAGTAGAGCCATGGCCCAGAGCACTAGTACCATTCAAAGGGAGCAAGTCACACTGTAGAGCATACATTCCTTTGTAATGTCACAGTTAGTAGGGACTGAGCTGCAGCTCCATTCATCTGGCAGCAGAACTGCTAATACTATGCCCCTAATCCATAAACTGTGACTCCAACAAAAGAGTTCCTCCTGGGGCACCCCAGAGGGATCACCAGGAGGAGCTGGAGATAGGTATAGCTGGCTCACACAAGCACTTCCTGAAGCCCACACAGCTGGCACAGCTGGTACTTGTGTGTGAGGCTCCCTCCTGTGGTCTCCCTAACCTGTTGACTCAGAATACTGTGATTGCTTAACCTACCACCACTGTTTTCCTTTCTCCCCCTTCATGGCTCAGCTGGGACACAGCAGGGCAGGAGAAGTTCAAGTGCATCGCATCTGCCTATTACCGGGGTGCCCAGGGTAAGCAGCTGTGTGTGATGGTGGGATATACAGCAGGGGCCTCCCCACTGGACACAACAGCAGGAAGCCCAGGTCCTCTACACAGGCACCAGTTTTCTGTTCCCTGTGAACTACTGAGAAATCACCCTAGCCAGTACTTGGGAACAGAAAAGCTGCCTCCAAGCTGGGGCCTTGGGTAGCTTTGACAGTCACACCCTTTGGAGTCTGTCATGGTGGGTTCTGGCTGTACCTCTCAGCCCCAGCTTTCATATCAGGAAGATTCTGAGAGAAGGATTTGTTTGTCCTGGGATTCAGGAAAAGAGGGACAGCGTAACATTCCAAGAGGAGGTGGGCAAAGGTTTGTCCTATCTTAGGAGGAGGAAGCTAAGCCAGACAGGAAGAATGAAAAGTGGACCTTTGCAGGACTGGCAGGTCCCAGGTGCTCAGTGTCCATCACCAACATGGCTAAGTGCAGCCTTGGTACTGGGCCAGTCTCACAGCAGAGATGGCAACAGAAACTTACCACTTGGACACCACCCTCCCAGAAGCAGACAGAAATGGATTTCAGTAGGACATGGGAGAACTGTCAAAAGGATTTCAAACCAGACTCAAGGCACAATTACATGTACTCACTAGTAGTATAAGAATCATAGTTTTGTGATTCTTATACTACTAAATCATTCAGGTTTGAAAGGAATAAAAACATGTACTAATCCATGAGTAACTCAGCTAAGGATTGGAACTTCAGCTGAGCCACATCCACTGTGACCTCCTTCAGCTTTTGCTCTCCAGGCCTCTCTATTCCCAAGGAGATTCTACCTCCACAGGACTAGAGCTGTAAGGTGCCTGGCACACTTCTGCAAGCAGCAGCCAGACTGCCATTGCCCCCATGTTACCAGTGAGCTTTTCTCTGTTCCCCTCTGTCATGGGAGCATTGGGACTCTCCCACAATCAAGCCATTGTCCAGCCTGCTCACAACTGAAGGCATCAGTAGAGGACACCATGACTATAAGCCACAGCTCTGACCATCTAGAAGTCATTTTCCTTAATCTGGTTGTTGCTGATTGTTATTACATCCATAGCTGCCACTGATTGAAGGTCTTGCCAGGTGTGATGGTACACACCTTTAATCTCAGCACTCTGAGAGGCTGAGGCAAGAGAATCATCAGTTCCAACTTATAAGAACAACCTTGTCTTAGAATAAAAAATAATAGGGCCAGGGATGTAACTCAGTGTGAAGGCCCTGCAAGCCTGCAAAGTTAGTTAGCTTATTAAATATTAATTTTTAAGAATCTGTCCTAGATCAGGCCTTGGACTAAAAGCTTTTCAAAATAGCTGCCTTAAAAAAAAAAACAAACAGAAAACCCAGCTGCCTTTGTTTATCCTGGCAGCAACCCTGAGAGTTAGGCATATCATTATCATTATTTTATAGATGGGCAAACTGAAGCTCTCTGCATTTAAAACCCTTTCCCAAGCTCCCTCTCCTGTAACAGCAGAGGGTCGCTGATGCCAAAGTCCACATGATCCACATTTGCCTCATCTGTCCTCCCTAAATTCCCTATAGCTGGACTGTAAGGTCCACAGTTGCGTTCCAGACCTGAACAGGTGCTTGAGGGGGAGAGCTCTCCTTTGTCACAGTGTGTTGGCCTCACCTGTCACTGACTGACTGTTGGCTTTCCCCCATGTGTCCAGTGATCATCACCACCTTTGACCTCTCTGACGTGCAGACTCTAGAGCATACCAGGTAAGTAATTCCAGTCTCTGTGACCCCTTTGGGGCACCTGGGTTCAGAAAGCTCCTGAAAAGGCTCTGCAGACCCAGGCCATTGGGCTAGTCCCTTTATGGTGGCTTTGGGCTCCTGTGTTAAGATCGATTGCCCATAAACTGTTTATTGTCCCATTGCCTCCTTAACCCTCAAGGGGGCATTTGCACCAGGCTAGTGCTCTGCTAGGCTTGCTCATTTTGTTATCCTGCTGTCACCATCCTAGAAGACCTTATAATTTTTGCATGAAAAATGCCAAATGTTCACTCTGCCCTGGGCTCTGATAGCCAGTTCTGTCTGAAGGGATGTGACTTTGGCCCTTGCTGTTTTGTTTCAAGGTTGTTTTTTGGTACAGGGGATCAAAATCATGACCTCATGCTTGTCAGGCAGGTGCTTATACTGCTGAGCCAAATCCCTGGCAAAATGTGAAGTTTTTTTTGTTTCTTGTACCAGGGTTTGAACTCATGACCTTACACATGCCATGCAGTTGCTTATGCCACTGTCCTAAATTCCCAGCCAGCCATTACTGTTTTGAACAATGCAGCCAATTCCAAGAGACCATCTTGCTTCTGTCAGGAATCTAACGGACCAAAAGCTACCTCACCTTCTCACTTTATGTTTGTTTGGGACATTCACATCTAATTTCCTCCATACCCGGAGAGAGACTCTAGAGTGATCATTCCAGGTGATAAAAGCTCAAAGGATGAGAACAGGTCTTCATGACCTGACCAATGCTTTTGTATTCCCACCCTACTCAGGTCCCACTAAGGCCATTCTGGCTGTAAGACCAGCATCCCACTTAGCCATTGTTGGCCAGGGGCTTCCCTCTGTCTCCCAGCTCAGTGCTTCCAGCACTGGGAAGGACCTGAGTCTCTATGTGTATTAGTTATTTTCCTCTTGTTGCTGAGACAAAATACCCTATACCCAAAATTAAAGAAGGAAAGCTTTACTTAGCTCACAGTTTGTGGAGCTGGCTCCAAAGCAGGATGGTGTGGCAGAAGAGCAACAGTTCATGGAAAGATATCAAAAATAACAAGAACAAAAAAGGGGGCAGCATATAGAGATTCTTTCTGTCTCTTGTATGTAGGCTACCCACCCTAGGGTGGGTATAGCACTTACACCCCTAATCCCAGCATTGAACCATATCAGTCACAAATTCTAGAAGCCTGCCCCCATGACTGCATGAGGATTTGAGGGGACATCCATACACAAACCATAAACTTCACCCCTGGACCTCCCTTTCTGCAAAAGTCATTTAGTCCATCTCCAAGAGTTGCTAAAGTCTTAATAGTTTCAGCACTGCTGAAAAGTCCCAAGTCTATTCCAAGATATAAGGCAAACTCTTAGCTATGAGCCCCTGTACAAATGAAAGTTAAACACTTCCAACATTCAGTGTCACAAGATAAACATTACCATTCCAAATGGTGTGAACAGGGGAATACAAAGGATGGTACCAAAGCAAATCTAAAATGCATCAAGGCAAGGCAGCTGTGGTGGCTCACACCTATAATCCCAGCACTTGGGAGGTTGAGGCAGGAGGATCATTGGGAATTTAAGACCAGCCTGGGCTATAAAGTGAACTCAAGGCCAGCCTGAACTTCATAGAGAGTCCCTGTCTCAATAAGACAAAAAAAATATTCAGGGCAAACAGTAAGTTCTGTAATTCGATATGAAGCAATCTGTGGTAAGTTGTGAGCTCCAAAAAGCTTGCATGAGTATGCCCCTATGGCATTTCTAGTGGTTTTAGCTTCCAGAGCTTCTCTTTTAGGCCCACTCTGCTCAATCCTTGCTGCTTTCCTTAAATGATCCATGTTCCTGGCTTTTCCAAATTTCCTGGTTCTCCGCTACATTTTTCACTTCAAACGCACAGCCTCATGCATTGCCCTTCCAGGAGCACACTACCTGGGCTCCAAGGCCTGAAATTGGGTAAAAACCCTTTTAACCTCAGAACTTTTGCATTCTGCATGTGCCTAAAACCAGCACTATGTGGATGATGCCAAGGTCTGTGGCCAGGATTTCTTCTCTCTTGGCTGTAGGGATCAAGTGCCTGGATCACTGGGCATTCCGAATCTGATTCTAATGAACAAATTCTCTATGCCACCACCATTCTGGAGCTTGGTGTGGGCACCACCACCATCCTGGAAACATAGTGTGGCTACTGCTATTCTGGAACATGATGCTCTTCAGCTTTCTCCTCAAAGCAAAGTCTTTCACTTTTGTAGTTTTGAGACTGCAAAGGGTGGAGACTTGCTGCTTCTTGTGATGCCCTCAGGCCATCTTTTATATTTTCTGTTCTTCAGCAATTGGGATATCTTCAGCTCTACCTTTGCAATCCACGGCTTAATTGGAGCTCCTTTCTGGCCAAACTCACAACATTTTAAATCATCCTGCTGGGCTCTTTGCTCTTGATTCTCAACATAAATGTGGCTAAAAGCCCCCAACAATAGCCATGCCGCAGCCTTAACATTTGGCTGCCTTGAAATTTCTTCTGCCAAATTAAAGTCAACCACCCTTAATCTTAGTCTCAGGCAAAGTCTTTAGACATGAGCAAAGTACAGACTTCTTGCCAAACCATAACACACATCATCTGAACTCCAACAACCAGTGCAATTCTTCTTCCCAGCAGAAACCTCCTATACCTGGTCTTTAACAGCATGATTTCTGTCAGCCTTCTGGTCTTCTGAGCTCTGACCAGATCTCCCATACACAACAGCCTAAGGCATTCCAGCACTATTTCAGGTGACATCTCCAAACCTTTCTAAACTCTTCCCACAAGCCATTCTCAAAAGCTTTTGAACTACATGGTCAGGTATAGTCACAGCAATGATCCCACTTCTCTGGTACCAAATTCTGTCTTTTTTTCTGTCTGTCTTTTTCTGTCTGTTATTTTTCTCTCATTGCTGAGACAAAATATGCAACACTCAAAATTTAGCTAACAGTTTGTGGAGGTTTCAATCCATAATCAGCTGGCTCCAAGGCAGATGGTGTGGCAGAGGTGCAACAGTTCAGGGTGAAAGACAACAAATAAGAGCAAAAAGGGAGAAGCATGGACAAAAGACTCTGTTCCTTATATTGCATGTAGGCCACCCACCCCAGGGTGGATATAGCATTCACCCCTATAATCCCAGCATTGGACCACAAATTCTAGAAGCCTGCCCACATGGCTGATTGAGGCTTTTAGGGGACATCCAAATACAAACCATAACACTATCCAATACCATTGTCCTCCTCATGCACCCTTAGGTAGGTTTAGATGACCCTCGGGCAATCTCTCCTCTGTGCATTACAGGCAGTGGCTGGAGGATGCACTAAGGGAGAATGAGGTGGGATCCTGCTTTATCTTCCTCGTGGGAACCAAAAAGGACCTTCTGGTGAGCAGAGTAGAACTGGAAGCCTGGTTGCCTCTTGGAAAAATGCCTGTGCTTGCAACCCAAGTGTGAGGAACAGCATGTGACATTGACATGCCTAGTATTAGCATTCAAAGACCCCAGGCCTTGGAGCTTCAAGTCAGGGGAACTCAGGTTCCCTGTTCTGTCTCCTAAGAATGGGACTGTTGACACCCAGATTTGCCTGTGGACCACTGAAGTGTCACCCCAAGGCATGCAGCATGCATGCACCGGGACTGCCCTGTCTGCCCACGCTGGGAAATGGGAGTGAGGGTGGGGAAGAGAGATGCCATGGTGAGAAGAGTGCAGCTGTGACCCCAGGGGCCACCCGTAGGTCTGGGCACTGGGTCAGCAAGGGCTGCTTCTCCCAGTCAGGGGCAGCATGTGAGCAGGCTGAAGCAGAGGCTGTGCACCTGGCCAATGAGATGCAGGCTGAATACTGGTCAGTGTCAGCCAAGACAGGTGAGTGGGGCAAGGGACTTAGTGGGGGGGAGCATAGGCTATTGTGTGGGCCCAGTGTGCTGTGGGGGTTCTTGCCTTGCCTTCAGTGCTGGTTCACAACTTGGCTATGCTGGTGACTGGCAACACCTTCTGTTGCTTTACAGTGGTCTCCTCTAGGCCACTGGGAAGTGTGTCCCATGGATGTGAAGAATAGTGACACTGGTCCTTACCAGTCCTAGGCTAGATGCCCAGCAGGTCCAATCTCCCCATATGGGAAGCAGGGTGACAACTCTCTATTTCTACCCTACTTATAACCCTACCGCGATCCCTATCCCTACCTCTACTTCCATCTCTATCTCTATCTCTCTCCCAGCCCATTTGATTTTCAGCTAGGGTCTTGCTGGGTTGTCTAGACTGATCTTGAACTTGCAGTTCTCCTGCCTCAGCCTCCCAAGTAGCTAGGATTAACAGGCATGCATGTGCTACTGCACCCAGTTTACCTTATTTTTAATGAGAAAATATTTTTTATTATTAAGGGTATATGTATTTCCTGAGGAAAAATTAGAAAGTGCAAAAAAGCAAAGAACAGACTTTGAATACACAGGTCATGGGGGAGATTAAATAGAAGAACACTTCAGATGTGTTATGTGCATGTTCCAACTCCCTATGATGAATATAATCATTATGTGTTGTAAACATGGACTAATAAAAATAATTGAAATAATGTGTGGTGCCTAGCACATGGTAGGTCCAGAGATTCAGGGGACTCAGGGTTAGGCCCAGTGGTCCTGGTCCCAGGCAAGCAGGCACAGCAGGCATTTGGCCAGGGACTGAGTGAGAGCTGAGTAGCTCCCTCTACCACAGACACCCAGCAGTTTTCGTTTCTGGTGCTCTCTGCTGCTCCTTCCCGTAAGCTTCCCCCTTGCCCTGCAAAGACTCATCATCCTCCCTGAGCAGAGTAACAGGGGAATTCACTGATAACTCAGTACTGGTCAAGTAGGACCACAGTGTAGGCTGTTTGTGCTGGATGCAGGAACCTAGCCTCCTCCCTGATAGCTGGAGGAGGATGCTCAGACTCCACGTAAGAGCCAACAGTGTATAGTTACAGGAAAGCAGGCACATATCTGTCCTGAATTCTGCCAGGCCCAGCACTGGCCCATAGTATAGTAGATGCTCAGGAGCAACTGATTGGAAGAGTAGCTTCAAGAAACAAAGGCTTAGAGGTCTGAGGGAGTGGGGGTGGGGCTGAAGTCAGGTTTTGAAAGGTCCTACCCCTGGCACTGTAATGGGCCCATGGGTGGGTAAGGCCACACCCCCACATGTCACTGTTACTGTCAAAATAATCTAGAAGGAGCCACACTCCTGATTGAGGGTGGGCTGTTCTGGCACCCGTAAGTATCTAGAGCTACAGCTGGGGTCACAGCTGTCCCATGGGTCTCCAGGAGAGAATGTGAAGGCATTCTTCAGCCGTGTTGCTGCCCTGGCATTTGAACAGTCAGTACTGCAGGAGCTGGAGAAGAGGAACAGCACTCAGCTCCAGGTCGGCGATGGAGACCTCATTCGTGCGTACAGGCATGGTTGCATGGGCTGGGGAAAGACTGGAGATCAATGACCCAACATTCCGTCCTCCCATCACCCCAGACCCTGCCATTTCCTTGTTGCCCTCTTTGGGCCCTCTTCAGTGGATTGGACAGGCCTATAGCCTCCCTGACTCCACCTGCTAGTTCAGGCACCTCCTTTGGCCCTCCCTGTCTTCCATAAACCTCCTCATGGGCCAGGCTGGGGATCACAGTCTCTGGAGAAAGACATGGCTCTGGTTCTGTAAGCTTGGGCTTTTGTCTACCATGTTCTACCATATAAAATATTCTCTGGGCCTCTTATCCTGTATATGCTTAACTAGGCTTCCTGTGACAGATCTGGGAGCTCAAGCTCAGAGCTGTGCCCGTCAGGATAGGGGTGCCCCTGACCAGTGTCATGTGCAGGATTCTTGACTGATGCCAACTTTTCTTCTCCTTACAGGAATTGAAGGAAGTTCACCTGAGACTCAGGAAAGCGAGAGACCCTTTAGCCTGGGCTGCTGTTAGCTGGACTCCCCCACATCCCCTGCACACAAATGGGTATAGGCTGTCACTATGGAGGAGAACATGCAGTCTATCTCCTTGAAGGTGTGGAGAGCCTGTGTACCCAGGACTCAGCTACTATTCTTTAGCAGGAAGCCACTGGGTGCTGGTGCACCTTACATTGCCTACTCAGAACTGGCTAGTGAGGACACTGCAGTGATGACCCACCTGCAGGGTCATCATTGTCACCTGTGACCTTGAAAGACCTCAGGACTGCAAACTCAGGACATTCCTGCAGTGGCCCACATCCCTCACCATGGCCCTGTTTCCCAGAAATTTTAGATGTGGCTTCAGACTCCTTCTCATCATGGTGTTCCAGGCAACCAGGACCTGTCAAAGTTGGCCTGTGAGGAAAAGCATAGCTGCTTTCTCACCTGGGGATTTTCTGTTATCAACAGAACATGCAGTTCTGGGCTTTAGAGTTTGAGGCCTCTTGTCCGCTGCCCCTCTGTCACAGACTCCCAGGCTCCCTGAGCAGCCCTGCCTCTCTCAGGGGCACTGTTGGTCCCCTTCTGATCAGTGGACCCTCCCTGGCATCTCTGAGAACCCCATGGTCTTGCCCTCCAGGTCAGTGGGTGAGGAGAGCTGAACAAGTCCTTTGTGCCTCGGATCCATCTGGAGGATGCATTTTCTTGGCCATGAGAGATGAAAACTGCATACCCGCCCCTCGGGTAAATCACTGTACATCCACTTACCTTGGCACTGCCCCACGACTCATACCAGTGTGCACTGTTGCCTCTCCAACCTTCTCTCCCACTGGCTTGCATATTTCTCAGGACTTGTGTAATGGCATCCACATCTTTGGAGACTGTTCAGTCTAGCATGTTCCTGCCCACCATTCCTTCTGCACAACCAGTGCAGACAAGAATATCCTCCCCACCCAGCTCTCTGCCCAGAGGGTCTGCCCTCCTCTCTGTCCCTTGTGTTGCTCCTGCAGGAGGTGTCAGGGCCTTGTCACTGCTACTCACTGCCCACTGCTGCTGTGGCCATTGGTATCTGCCCGCTCATCCCCACCGTCTTGCCATAGGTAGGTGGATACATCCAGCATCCCTATCTGCTTCTTGGAGATGGTGAGCATTCTGGGGGCAGGCTGTGCCAGTTAGTACCCTTCTAATCTTTAGCACATTGGTTGTGCCCCATGAATGTTCACTGAATCATAGCAATTGCCAAGTAGCAGACAAGAACACTGGCATGTTTTTTGGTGCATTATTCCTTTGCATATATATGTATCTATCATGTCTTTATATAAATTGCTTTTAAAGGAATTGTGTGCTTAGTGTAAAACAAGATACTAAAAAGCATATAAAATATATATTGGAAGTACTACCTTTGATTGGTCACGTGCTCACTTCAGCAGCACATACACTAAAATCTGATTGCTCACATGCCAAACATATGGATGGTTAATAATTGGTACAGCTCCTGTGTTTCCCTGTCGCAAACCGTATTTGTTAGCTCATTTCTCCAGAGTGACCTTGGGTTGTACACACTGCCTGATAGACTGCTTTCCCCATGGACTGCCTGGGGGATGCACACAGCCCCCTCACTCCTTTAGCATCTACTCTGCTTAATGTAGACAGACTGTACTTAGCCTGTCCCATACACAGGTCATTTTGTTTTGACCAGCAATTAGCTTTTACTGATGGTGCTGCAATGGCCATCCTTTGTAATTATAGTGCACACTCAGGATTCCTAAAGGAGGGCCTCCTGGCCTGGTCCACTGTGGAGGAGGAGACACACTAGGGGTACATTAGGGAGGACCAAGTTTGTCGGGTACAAACAGAATGATGGTGACCAATTATGAAGGGGTAGGATGGTGGTGGGGAAGGGGAATATGGTATCTTGTTGTTACCAGCTCTTAAACTGGAAACCCACTGTCTCATGTACACCCAAACTTCTGTATATGGTACTTTATTAAACTCCTTATGTTGCCTACTGTGGTGTGCAGCTAGTTCCTGAAAGCCCTATCTGACAGTCATATCTCCAATTTCAGTGTTTGACCCAGAAGGCTGGGAAACTGTGCACACCAGGCAAAAGCAAGGCACTCATTGTTTCCCAGCCAATTAACACAGTTATTTTAGTGTATTTGTGCTGCTACAACTGAAAATCATTAATGCATTCATGAGGTCCAAACACCTCTTAGTAAGCTACACCTTCCAATATTTGCATTGGGGATTAAGTTTCAACATGCGTTTTGGAGGGGGACATTCAAACTACATCAAGTAGGCCAGGGGCATAGTTCAGTGGCAGGCTGCCTGGCAGGTGTAAACCCTGGGTTTAATCTCCAGCTCCGAAAAGGGGAGAGGGAGCAAGCAGCACCTCAGAATCCCTTCAGTGTAGCTTCCACCCCTTTCCGTTGATACAAAGACATTCTCTTCAACCATCTCAACGTTCCACAGCAAACTTCTGGGGCAGAGAATCTGTGGGTCTTGTCTTGCAGGTCCAGGAGACAAAGCAGCCTCTTGCATCAAGGTACAGCAAATATCTACAACCAAGTGCTTAGAAGCATCTTTTCCCTCTTTCCTGGTTCCCTTAGCTCTTTGCTCTTCATTTCTCTACCCATCCTTTTATTTGTCTATCTCTCCTGCTGGAGACACCTTCCTGTCCCTATCTTACAGATGAGGAAACCTACAGCTGAAAAGATGAGACATGTCTGACACCTCCTCCTCCTCCTCCACACTTGTGGCCTCTCCTCTGCCCCTACCTCAGCATGGAATCCTACTCTAGGTAGCCTTACCCTTGGGGCTCTGTCTCTTACACCTGTGTGCCCCAGTCAGGTGTTCCCATACAGGGTCATCCAGGATTGCCACTAGAACAGGGATTTCTCTTCTCAGTACTGTAAAATCAATCAATAAAAATTTAAAAATAAAAATAAAATGAGCCAGGATGTATTTGCATTGGCCCAACCACACGCTCTTCAGCATAATACCAGCCAGCCAAGCCTCCCCCCTTACAGACTGCTCCCTGTGGCCCTTCGGTACCAGACCCCCTCCTTCAGCTCCACAGGCTCTACAGTGACCAGAACAAGGTCCTCACGGCCCATCTATTTGAGTCTTATGTCTGGGGGGGGGGGCCTGTTCTGTCTTCTCAGCTTAGCTGTGGGCCTCCAACTCACTCTTCAGCCTGGAGAATGGGTGAGATCTAATCCCAGACACTCTCCATGAAGGTCTGGGTGGCTTTACCAGGAAACCTGAGACCACATATCACTAGGTAACTAAAAACAGGTGGATTGGTTAAATTCACATGGTCACCATTCACTCACCAGTTTTTCCTCATTCATGAGTTCCTAGAGCCCCTTTTCTAGGCTAGTGTCTGAATTTTGTTGTTGTGGTTGTACCAGGGATCAAACTTATGACCTCATGCTTACCAGGCAAGCACCTGAGCTGCTAAGCTAAATCCCGGTCCTGCATTTTTTCCTTCCACAGCCTACAAATAGGTGTTACGTTTCACAGGTGAGCTGAGGATCAGCTCTGGGGCCACACAGGTGCAAGCGGGGATAAGGAGACAGATATGTCCAACTCACTCTTCAGCCTGGAGCATGGGTGAACTCATAGTTCTCTCCCCTGCTACACACACCTACAGAAGACCTGGGGGAGATCATACTGAGACTGGAGCAGGGTGCGTGCTTATAATCCTAGCACTGTGTGAGGCAAAGCAGGAGGATGAAAGTTTGAGCCCAGCTCGGGCACTCCAGTGAGACCCTGTCTCAAACCAAAAAAAATTTTTAAGTGCTGAGGATATAGTTACTCAGTGTAAAGTCCCTGGGTTCAATCTTCAGTATTGCAAAATAAATAAATAAATAATAAAAATAAAAAACCAGGATGTAACTCAGTGCAAAGGACTTGCATTCAATCTGTAGTATCACCAGAGAGACACAGATAGATAAGAGACAGAGAGACAGAGACGAAGAGAGATAGAAAAACAGAGACAGAATAGTAACAGAGGTCCAGGGCATGGGAGGGCAGATTTTCAGAAGAAACACATAGCTCTGAGACGGGTCCCTTCTCTTCTGGGCATGATGTGAGTCTGAGCCCCACCCAAGAAGCCCATGGCTTCAGGCAGTACTACCCCCCCCCACCTTTGGCAGCTCCCATGCTCCTCTGCCATCTGCTGTGGTCTACCCATATCACCTTCCATATGTCTGGCCTTCCCCTGAGGGAAGTTGACGGGCAGATGGGAAATGTGGCTGTCACACTGCCTCCTTCCAGGCAACACAGATCCTTCCCAGCTTCCTCCCCCTCATCCAGATGCCTCCTCAGAATTCAGGGCCACCAGCCACCTGTCTGAGCCTGTGTCCCAGGTGGGTGCAGAGCTTCTGCCCCGGCCTGCTGTGTGCAAGCCTTTCATTCAGCTTGCTCAACCCTAGTCTTCTGGAACACAAGGTGGGTGGGCTGGGAGGCAAAACAGACCTGAGGCTCCTTCCCCCATAGGTGGGGGGCAGCTCTTGCTCAGGGTGCTCTGCCCGTCTCACCACTGGGAGACAGAGTCTGGACAATCTCACTAGCTGTATCTTTAGAAACAAGCCCGTCTCACCTCATCTAAGCTCTTCTCCCTGCAAAGACAGAAAACAGCACGTAAGAGACTCCACTGGGATCACTGGCTGTAGGGACTTCATCAATAAAAGATTCTGCAGCAGGCAAGAAGAATCACGGGAAGTAGGAGCCTATAAGCCCCAGGCCCCAGGCTTGGGAGCGGGGATCCATACCCTTGGTCATTGAGAATTGCTGCAGCTCCACCACAGACTCATTTCTCACTGGCTAGGATGTCTTACAGATGGGCCAGGGTCAAGGAAACTGGAGGAGTTACCCCAGTCAGGCATTGTCCAACGCAGTGCAAGAAGGCAGGGCTGGAGAACAGCTGTATGGATGACCTGTTTTCTGATCTTGCCCCTGGCTCCCTGCACTGATGGATGACAGATGATAAATGACAGATGATGGATTGGGGGTGGGGTCCATGTTTCCTCTAGCCTCCAGCTGGGATGGAGATGAGGGTACAGACAGAAAAAGGAAAGGAGCAAGAAAAGGCCTTTCCCAGTCAACCTTAAGTAGCTCTTAAGGCAGAAAGCCTACCCACTTTATAATGCTCCATCTGATCATCTGTCTGATGGCATGCTGCTCAAGAACACTGATTTGGGAAAAAAAAAACAAAACACTGATTTGGGATACAGGCAGACTAGCTCTCTCATTTATGGCTGTGTGATGGGGATAACCCCTTTCTGAGCCCCCTTCCCTGACCATCACTGGAATAATGGATGTGAGGCTGGAAAGAGTTTACCTCTATGAAGCCCCAGCTGAGCACCTGTCAAAGGCTGGGTGCATAAAAGCCCTGAGATTCTCACAGGCAGGCCACTGTGCTTACCCACATGGCACCTTTGGGTGAATTAGGAAAAAAAATAAAATAAAACCCCTGTGCAGTTCCTTAAAAAATGAAACATGGAATTGTCATATGAACCCAGAAATTTCATCCCTAGATATGTTTCCCCAAAGAACTGCAAATAAGTATATTGTTTGAGTCTAGTCCATTTGGGCTGCTATAACAAAGCATTATAGTCTGCCTTGCTTATAAACAACAAAAGTGTATTTCTTTTCTTTTTCTCTGCATCCCTCCTCCCCTGACCCAGTGCTACGGAATTAAACCGAGGCCCTCATTCAACCAGGAAAATGCTCCACCAATGAATCACACTGCCTAACCTAGAAGTTTCTCATAGTTCTAGAAGCTAGAAATCTAGCAGCAAGGTCCGGCATCATCAGTCTCTGGTAAGGTTACGTATTTCTGACTTCTCATTTGATCCTCCCATGACAGAAAGAAAGCAAAAGAGTTCTATGGAGCTCCTTTTAGCAGGACACTAACCTCATCCCACAGGGGCTTCACCCTCACAACCTAATCACCTTCGAGGCCTCGCCCCAATACCACTACACTGGGGAACAGCATTTCAGTAAGTAGATTTTAAGGGAAGCCTGAGTGTAGCTCAGTGGTAGAGCACTTGCCTAACCATTGACTATTTAGAAACCCCTATAGATCTCCTGCTGAAGCTCCTCTGCTTGCTGAACAGCCCAGAAATGCTCAGTCTCATCTCTTCTATGCCGGCTTCAAGATAGTGATAGATCGAGCCAGAGGGCACAGCAGCTATCAGCACATGAGCTCTGCCCTCCTTACCAAGTCTGCCCCACCATATTCATAAGTCCCGGTCGCCTGGGCAGTCCCTTTTCAGTCTCTTTTCCTCTACTCTCCTATTGCAGCCCCTGCTCCTTTCCCACACACTCCCCTTCAGCCCTGTGGTTATAAACACCAGGTGTTCACTAACAACCTCCAATTTCTGCCTGTGGTCTTGAATGCTCCTTGGTGCTGCAGACTCACCCTCTATCCATCAGACTCCTCCCTCTGGATGGCCCATAGGCTCCTGAAGCCTCACAGGGCAGCTCTGCTCACCTGTTGCAGACGGCATCCCACTGTTACCCCCATGGCTGGTCTTCCTTCATTACCCACAGTAAACCTGTCTGCAACTTCTATGAGCTCTCTTGCAAGAAGGGCCCTGGAATCTAACCCTTTGTCTTAAACATCGTGTTTCTACCATTGTCCTGATCACCAATATCCCCCTCCTGGACAACTGCTATAGACCTGAGCAGCTTACCCTACTCCCACCTCCAACCTCCTCAACTCTCCACCCAACAGAGCACATGCCCATTGTGCTGAACAGTTCAATCAGACAGTGCAGGCTTATAATCTTTTAGTGGCTTTTACTTGCATTTAGAGTAAAACCTAAACTTCTTACATGCCTGGAAGGCCCTGTCTCACTTCTCCTCACCTCCTACTGCCCACACCAGCCTCGTCTTCTAACCTGGCTTTTCCTCAAACACACCAACAATTGAAGTCTCCTTGTCTTTGCCTATCTGTTCCTTGCCCATAGCAGCATCCACAGGAAAGCCTTCCCCAGA